TGCGCAAACCCACCTCCAGCAAAAAGAGAGTCCCCTCTTTTTATTAGGGGAGTGGGGAGAAGGAAACGGGGGAGGGGGAGCATAAGGAAAAGGAGAAGAAGGGGAGGGAGAAGAAGAGCGATAAGCTGCCGCCTATAGCGGGATACGCGGGGGATCCCGACCTGGTGGATGTGCCCGTCTACTTCTGCGGCGAGGGCTACACGGGGGAGGACCGACAGGCGCTGGCGTGGGCCGCCGAGGTGATGCACCTGGCGCAGCTTCCGCCCGTGGAGGTAGTCGGGGGCGGAGTGGACGAGGTCTGTCGACTTGTGGATCGGCGTACGTTGGTCTATACCGTGGGGCTGGATTGTGGAGGTGTGGAGGGAGGTGCTGCGGCGATGTAAGCCGGCGGCGGTGATAGCGGGAGCTTGTGTGGTGGATTCGGAGAGGTAAGATCGGGTTTGGGGAAGATAACAGCGGCGAATGTGTGGTATATTGATGTTTCATGTTATAGCCGCGGCGCCCTTGACGACTACGAAGAGTTCAAGCTCGATAAGGGACGGGCGCCGCATACGATAGGGTCATCGCACTTGTATATTCGCAAGGATATCGTGGACCTGGCCGAAAGGGAGGCCATTGTGCCGCCATACCCGGTTACGTTCCCACACGACTACCCGTACGATAATAAGAGTTGGTACTTGGATGAATTGAGGAAGAACGGGAGCGGGAAGGTAGTCCGCCGTGAGGAGACGTCATGAAAGGGGTAGTTGCTGGGCAAATTGATTGCATTGTTGTTTGGAGATGGCTTTAATAAAGAGACGCAGTATTTGAGTAGTCCGGGCTCTTCAAAAAACTGCATCGAAGTGCAGCTCCATTGTGAATTGGAAGAGGTGAAGTTGAAAATGACGGCCGGGTAATATTACATACCTGGTTAGCTCGGCGGGATCTTCCTCAGATCTAAGCGAGCATGGCATCACTCACCACCCCACTTATCCGTAGGGCTGAAGGTTGCCTGTGAGCGCTGAGAGCCTGATGACGACGCCGCTGCCCCGAGTGCCCCGCCCTTTAATAAAACCCCCACATCTTCCCGGGCCCCTGTACACTGTCGAGCTTCTCTCATCACCCGATTCCCCACAACCGAGATATTAGCTATTTATCAAGCTCTATTCAAGACCGGAATCAATATCCTATCGAATTTAACATCAAAACAATCTATCATGTGGTCGCCGGAGAGACTCGGCCCAGCTGCCGTGCTGCAGTCCATGGCTGACGCCCTTCCGATCCATCAGAGAGGTGACACCACCTCTGACATGAGCGCCACCATCGACTGTATCGCATTACTCGTCCACGCTTGCATGGTCAACCTGAATTTTACTTTCATCGGCTTTCACCTCAACCAGGACATCAGTGCGTCGAACCGAGACCTCCGGTCTCATCACCGAAGCTAACCAGCCCCCAGAAGACGAATGCGCAAGCCACGCGCCCCCATCTACCACCGCAATGGAACAATTCCATTAATTCGCACACCTTTGTTTACACCCATGATACCTCCTCGGTGAAGTTTGTGCTCCGTATCGGCCGTCTGCCCACCGAGATCGAGATCCGCGGCGAGGCCACCGGGGACCAGCACTTTGTCCGTTTCACAATCAAACCTCGTGATTACCTCCAAGCCTCTGGACTACCATTGCGTATTACGATCACGGCCGACGGCGGCGAGGACAGGAGCGACCTCGTTGAAAAACTAAAAGCCCTTTTCGTTTCCGAGGATCGGATCCAAGGTACCCTACCCATTCCCGCTCCACCCCTTCCCTTCCATAGCCTCCCCGAACTAACCATCCTCTCGTAAGAACTCGCATCGCGCTTCAAGGTCCACCTAATCCAACAGCTACTGGCCACACTCCCAGAATCAGAGGACACCGACGAGGAGCTCCGCCGCACAGCCCCATCACCCGAGAAAAAGCCGGTAGAACCGCCGGCACAGCGAGGCCCTCCCCCCGCCACTTCGCAACCGGAGATGCTCTTCCGGCCCCCGCGCCGCGACCGGGAACGAGACCCAAACCTAATCCTCCCGAGGGCACCCTCCGACCTCGGCCCCGGCCCCGCCCCCGGCCCCGCCCCCGACTTCCCGCCGCCCGGCTTCGAGGACGAGTACGAAGTCAACCAGCCGCCACACGGCCCGACGACGGCCGACCAGCGCCGCGGCGGCCGCGCCGGCTTCGGCAACCTGGGCCATAGCGATCTCTACCCGGCGGGGATGGGCCCCCACGATCCGATTGGGGGTGCCTTCCCCGGTCCTTTCCAGATCGGTCCCGACGGGCTCCGACATCCGGCGCCCGGTGGTCGTGTTGGCGGGCCCGGAGGAGGCTTCGGCGGAGGGGCCGGTGGGATGCACCCTACCTTTGATGACCCCATCTTTGGAGACCGCGGGGGCCGCGGGGGAGGTGATGATACGTTTGGTGGGCAGATCCCGCCCGGGGCGAGGTGGGATCCGTTTGGGCCTGGGGGTCACCCGCGGTTTGGGGGAGGACGTGGTGGTCGTGGGTCGGGGTTTGGCGGTGGGTCGGGGTTTGGTGGGGATATCATTTAGTTATGTCTTGGGTTTGCGTCGTTAGTAAATAACTATGTAATTGCTGCTTAATCCGGGATGTTATGATGGGGAAACAAATGAGTTTGAGCGGGGGGGGGTGAGGACAGGGGTTAGGAGCTCAAGCCTGTGGATGAAAGGGCCTAGCAAGGATCATATTATGGCATGGCATGGCTAGTTTGCTTTCAATAATAAGGAAACGCCACGATGGTTTTTGACCATCAAACTTGTGTCTTCGTCTTGGGTGAATACGGTGCTAGAATCTCCGCTACCATGTACTACTGAGGGGGGAGACACGCACACCGGCGATCCTCTTGCAAACCCATAGGCATATCCCCATTCCGCCTGCCGGCGTGTTCTTGGTTCACTGAACATGGGGATGGGACAAGCCAAACTACATAAACCCGTGTCTATACTTGCCTATCGGCTTCCCACAATCCTGTTCCAACAATGCGCGTGGCGGTTGGTGGCTGCCAGCCCGCAACCCACAATGTATATAATCACAAATGGCCTCGCTTCTCAGCATGGCACCCACCGCCCCAGCCATCACATCACGTCTAGCAGCCAGTCTTCTCACCGAAACATCATTGGCACCAAGCTTTGCACAACCGACCTCAGAGGCACAGCCGCGCGGGGGGCCTCGCCGTCCTACTGCGCGGCCTCCTTGACCTTTTGCTTCTCGTCGTCGGTGAGCATGCCGCACCAGTTCTGGAACTCGGCGATGTTCTCGGCGTCGGAA